GTTTCTTTTTTTTTTTTTTCCGGGGAGGATTTTGTTTGGCAAGTTGATCGTTGGCTCGGCTGGCTTTTCTTATGAGTTTTCTTATGAGTTTGTGTGTCTTTTTGAGTTGCATTCTTTCCATGGAATGTTCTTTTCGAAAGTTCAGTTGTGGTCGTGTTTTCTGATTGTTCTTGTTCTATTTTGTTGAGAAGTAAATATCTGTTTTGAGTTTTCAGGTTGTTTGCTGTAGATTCTTTGTCTTGGTTTTGCAGGTCTGTTTGGCTTCTACTAAGGCTTTTGGTTTCGTCTTTTTGAGTTTGTTTTGTGGTATTTGATGTGGAGTGTTCAGTTGTTGTTTGGTTAATTTTTGCTGTTGTCATCGTTTCAAGTTTGTGTATTATGGTTAGTTCAGTAAGTAGAATTCTCAGGTTATCTATTAAGTACATTATTTACATTATTCGGACTATCGTCTGCTCCAGCCTTCTTCAGGTGGTTGGAATGTCGAACTGAACCCTCTGCTCAACCACCAGGATCCCGTCCCCAGGCGTCACTGATCGCCGCCCACAGGTGGCCAGTTGAGGGACTCTTACCCTCTGCAGGAGTGCAGCCAATGTATTCTGAAGCCCCACTGACAGGGTGACCACTCAATAGTGTCATGTTGGGAGTTATTAGGGTATTTTGCACAGAGTGTTTACCGTCCTTGTGAAAACGGATCTTAGGTTTTCTGGCCATTACAAGCTGTTTGTTGGCTGCTTCCCAGCGTATACAGACTAAATCCATGACCATTTCCAGAACTTTGTTATGACACCATGTGTACATCTGCAGTAATTGTGAAGCATACAGAGAGCATGTGACGTAAAGTGCTTTGATCAGTTTGACATAATACACGTACGTCAGTGGCAGTGTACCCCCACCGCTTGAAGTTGGTCACATTTGATACATCATAGGTAGATTGCAGAAGGGATGATATTGCCAATGGCACCATTGCAATCAGATTGTTCCATGATAGCTTCATTGGATCAATATTACTCCATGTAGTCCAAGCATATTGTTTGGACTGAGAAACAGCAGTAGCTGTTCGCTGCTCTTCCTTGAAATTCCTGATTTCTCCACTCACCATGTCTTGTTTATCCTTTGGAAAAGAACTGGTTGTCCATGCTACCCAAGCCAGCTGTATTGGTTTCAGTCACCCTCCTTGGTTTGCAGGCTAGATTCTACTTCTTGGGTGACTTCTACTGCCAACCATTTGGTGACAGTCTAGATATTTGGCCATAACCTGTGGATGAATTCATCAGCTGAGTCCTTCATCAAAATGTGAAGGTGTACCTTCCTGACCTTGAACTCCTCCGCCAATGAGGAGATGAGAAGTTGCAGGTTTCCAACATTGGTATAGAGTCCCACTATGGAGAAGCAAGGTTTATGGCTCCAAGCCACTTACACAGGTACTTGTTGATACACTGCTGCATCTGCTGATGTGAAACACAGTAATATCATACACCTGCAACAGCCACAGAAGCCAAGGCAGCAAACCATTTTGGTAGCAGCAAACTATTTTGGTAGCACCAAGCCTTTAGTTTGCCAGAGATGGGTTCTGTCAATGGATTCAAGTCCATCTAGAGCAACTTTCTGCACCTCTTTACCTCAATGCTGATCAGTCAGTGGAATTTCATACAGCCATCCGAGGCTTCTCTTTGACTGTTGGGATCATGTCATCCCCCAACGTAGTAGTGAATCCTCCTGATAGAGCCTCTGAGTAATAATAAGCTCCAGTTTTCTTGGGCTTAGACTTCATTCTCACCCACTTGAAGACCTTATAGTAGTGCTGCAGTGTCATCCATAAATGCTCTGGAAGGAGGAAGGACCATTTGTTCCTTAGTCATCACTTCTTTTGCTGTGCCTGCTGCATCCCCATAATATGAGTCCCATGGACATAATGAAAAGAAGTGCTGAAATCACACACCCCATCATGGTGCCGACCTTGAGCTTTTGCCACTTGGTGGTGTAGCTGTCAATAGTAAACTGCATAAACGCTGCTCTGAAACATTTCATTATCATTTCCACAACCTTATTAGGGAAAGTGAAAAATTTGAGGGACATTCGAATTAACTCATGAGGAACCGATACATAAGTATTCGCCAGATCAAGCCAAATTACATCAAGCTCAGTTTTATTTTGTTTGGCCAATAGGATTGAGTTCCAAATCATGTGTGAATGCTCCAGACAACGTGGGAAGCCAGCTATCACAGCTTTCTGGACAGCTGTGTTTATGGATTGGTTACCTAGCAGGAAGTCTGTTATACAATGAGATCCCAAAAAATATTTTCCCTTCTACATTCAAGAGGGATATGGGGCAGAAATTTGCAATGACTTTTGCATTCTTTTCCTTAGGCATCCAAATGTCATCCACCAAGCATCATTCTTGTGGTACAATACCTTGTTACCATGCTGCTGGAGGAGGATGGTGAGTTACTTGAGGACGTTTGGACAATTCTTATATAACTTGTAAGATATTCTATTTATTTCAGGTGCACTATCAACACAGGTTTTGCAGATGAATTCTCAAATTTCCCTCAGCTTTAGTCCACTGTCATTAAACATGACCTATGGATCTTGGGGCCTTGGAAAGTCATTTATAGGAGGGACTGGAAAATCTTTCCAAGCATCAGAATATGTCATCCTCAGGTGGTTCTTGAATTCTTCCTGCAGCACAAGTTTGCCACTCTTAGTCTTGGTGAACAGCTTTTTAGCAAGTGTAAAGATTATTGTAAAATGATCTCCGAGACTGTTATTTTTTTCTTGTTTTCTTTGATTCTCAGCTCTAGAGATCACTAAGATACTTTCGTTAATATCCTTGAGCAGGTTGTTAAGGCCTGTCCTCTCATGAATTGGAGCTTCTTTGAGTCAGTGCTTCACAACTCTCTGCTCTGGTTTAGCTTATCCTTCTAAATCTGTTGTCTATTTGGACACTTCTTTTCTTTTCTATCCCCTCTTGCAATTGCCACACTAAACCACTCAAGACAAATATCGTGTACAACTCTGCAGAAAGATCTGATGGCTGGTAAGTATTAATGAGAGTTTGAAGAAACTGATGTTGCTAATGTCAACAGAGAAAAGATGAATATTAAAAACATTAAAGACATGAAAGTAGCCAAGCTACCACCTTTGAGTAAACATCACAGAGAAAATATTCAAGTTGGGTGAAGAAGTACTTAAAAATTTTCAGTAATTTTTAGTGAAGAAAATAAAGCAACATTGGATGGATCAAATGGTTGGATTAGAGCTTGGGTCCTTTATGGAAATAGTCAACCAATATGATTTAGAAGACAATAGCAAGGTCAGGTAATGCTTTAGGCAAAGATTGCAAGCAGAAAAAATTATAGGTGCATACAAAGGTGATAAGGACATAAAGACAAATGCAGAGGATTATTGTAAGCTTGGGACATTTTTTTATTTTTATTTGAGTGATATAAATGACAATCAAGAAACTTTAAGCTAAAGTGCATGAAAAGACTTTTCATCTTCTGCAAAGCTAAGTATTGTCCACTTTGCCAAAAATAGTTTTCAAAGATACCAAATTAATAAAATGATCCCAATTCTCTTCTGATAGAAAATGTGGTGGATATCATTAGAAGATTTGTCAATGAGAATGGAAAAAAAAATTAAAAAAAAAAAAAAAAACTGATGCAAGTAATATTCAAAGTGAAATAGAAAAGTTTGTAAAATCTATGACTGAAAAGTTGATGGTTATAGAATATGAAAGAACCCATATTAACATGTAAAATAATAAAGTAATTTTTTCAGAGAAATGTGATATTGTATTAATTTCTGTACTCTATATTGTTTGGGTGTGTTTCACTTTGTTTGCATAAAATCTAACCTTAAAATAAATTATGGTTTATATTTTTAACAAGAGCTGAAACTTTAAATGACATTGTTTATATAAATATATCCTGAAATTTTGTTGTGAAAACATTGGCTTGCATAATAAAAGCTGATATAAAGTGTTGGTTCCTTTACTTCAGATAGAAATAATTTTAAATACAAATATTTTCCAATTCTAATATAAAGTTGATGGAAATTGATATAAATGATCTTTGGTCAAGGTTATCAATTACACAAAGTTTGTAAGGATGTGTAGCTGGTATGATGGATAGGACTTTGGAATGAGAATTCAAGGAGCTGAGTTTAAATTCCAGTCTGGTTTGTTAGACACTTACACACAAATAACCTTGGAAAGGTATGAATTCATCACTTCCCCACTCTATGGGTTAAGTAATAGGACTTGTATCTGGAATGATTTGTTCTCCAAGAATTGTTAATGCAATATTCACTCACAAAAAAGAATTATTCTTACAATTCAAAATATATTTCAGTTTTAATTCTAGAAAGAGTTGGCAAGCTGTAAAAAAACAAAAAAAACAAAAAAAAACAAAAACAAAAAAAAACAAAAACAAAAAAAAACAAATCAAATCAATCAAGTGTAAAGAAACTGTAACCAGACATATTGCAATCTGAAATTTTCACTTGATAAATGTGATTAATGGTTGTCACTGAATTAAGTACATTATCACAAAAAATGTTGGATGATATTTGTTGTATAAAATAAATATTGTCATCATTAGGCTAAAAACTTATTGATATAATTCCATAAATTAGCATAATCAGTGAATACAAACCTAAAAATGCTGACCTTTGATAACTGAAATCTAGAATACTAAACTATTCAATAGGAACAACAATTATTTTCTTTATTTGTAAACTGAACTTAAAGCATTTCAAATATATTTTAAAAATTCATTATACTAAAATACTACATACTCTTTACAAATCTCCAGAGTAAATGAAGAAGTTTTTTGATCTGGAATCATTAAAGGGAATAACAAAACTTGGATTGAAATAATGGGTTGAAGAGATAAACGAAAATAATATTTGAAAATAAAAAAGAAGAAACAAAAAATGCTAAATGACTCACATGATTTCTACTGATGGATCATTCTCATTGAAAATTTTGACATACTTACTCTTTAGCTAATTCTGAAGGCGGAGTTCGATGAATGAGAGAATAATTCCCATCGACATGTGTAAAAAGGTGACTCCGGCAGAATTTTACTTGTTCCCGTCTTTCCAGATCTCGCTGTGTGAATTCTGAATGGATCACAATTTGTGGCGGGTCAGATAACAAGCTGATTTTAGCACTGGACACAACTGGAAATTTTGTATAATCCCTATAGATAGAAATGGCTTCCTCAACCTAGAAATGAAAAAAAAAAAAAGTTTTATATAACAAAAATAAAACAGGATTTTGTAGAAAAACTAACTTTTTGTCCATGAATCAATCAAACTAATATCACTATTGTTCATAACTTGAAGAGTTTTAAACATTCCAAATATTGCTTGGTTAAATGAACCTCTCTGTGAAGAAAAAAAACAAAAAAAACAAATAGTCTTAATGGTTGACTAAATTTAGATTATTTGGGCTGTCATTGAAAGAGGATTTCATTAACAATCAATTTCATCATTATAGCCAAAATAAGGAGAGACAGAGTTATTTCTTAAACATCCTCTGGCATAAGGCTATGGTAGTAAGGCACTGAGTGGGGAGCATACTCACTTTGCAAGTAAATTGGTTTACAAGAACAGCTTGTTAACTACTGGTCTACAGTAGGCCCTCTTTTTGCTTCCAAAAAGAGAAATTGAGAAAACTTATAAATCAAAGTTCATGTATCATCTAAATAGATACTGCCATTTCCTTTGTCCATCATCAAAATAAGTGTCTGATGCTTACAATTACAAATAAACAAACTGCATGGAGTGTATCCCCCCCCAACTATATTTACATTTACTACTAGAGAAGGATAGAACTAAGTGAGGCAAAAGTACTGTTTAATCAACTTTGCATATAAAACCAGGGAAATATCTTTTTGAGCCATTTTTAAGAAAAAATGAGGCCTTATATATCATTGAATTTAGCCCACATATTAAAAGCTAATTTAAATTTTATGGAAAGGTTTCTGAAATAGCAGATCCTTAAATGCTTTCTTTAAATGGAGCAACTTGTCTTTGTGCTAATAAACAGGGAGTAAATTTTTGCAAAAACCTCCAACAACGCTCCCCCCACCAATAACCAACCAAAAAAAATTAAAAGCTGAACCAAGAATATTCCTTATTAGAAATTGTGTCAGTGTTTAAACAACACTTGAGTTTGAACACAGATCACCAGAGGGCAAACACAGGCAATCCCATTTTGTATAAGTAGATCACGAGATGGTAAAGGAAATGTATATATGGGAATTAGTGTGGCATCTAAGTGATCTCTATGCAGATTACTATTCAGATCACTTTTCAGTAGTTAGTTTCCAAGCAAGTATTATTGAGTTGTTACTATATTACTATAGTTGTATCTGCGATTACAAAGTTTCTACTACAACAAGTATTACGAAAGTGACGAGTATTCATTGACCTCACAAAAGTTAGAATTTACAATTATCCCAAGGATTTCAAATACTTTTTCTTTTAAAACCTCTGACATAACTTTCCAACCACAATTGTTTAAAAAGTAGTTAATCTATATTTTGTAAACAACTGATGTTATCAAGTCTTTTTTTTTTGTTTTATACCAAGAGAAACATGAAAGTCATTTTCTTAAAAGCAAAAATAAATACAATACAGTCATCACTTATTGTTGGGTGAGCAAGGTTAACATATTAGTGTTGAGTAAAAGAGAAGATTACAAGAAAACACAAGGAGAAAACAGGAAAGAAAGAAAATACGAGAGAGAAAAAGAAAAAATGGATATTATGGGGTGAGGTTGGATGTTTATAAGCATTGTTTGTGGGCAGATGTTTGGGGATGAATATACTGGCATGAAAAATAATCTATGAAACCAGAAAAACAAGTAAACAAAAGTAATGATTCTGAAAGAAGTGAAGAGATGAGAGAATTAAGGAGGTGAGAAATGTTAATGACAGGTGAGTCCAAAGAAGTAACTGGAAAATACAATTACCTGTTTTGTTATGACATAATTACACAAAAATTAGTTTATTAGTAATGTGTAATCATGTCAATTACCTGGGCATTTAACTAATTCAGCTATTAATTTTTTTCTAATTCATTTACCACAAACCAAGAAAAAAAAATTATCTTTGTAGATTAAAACATTTTGAAATTTATGGCAAGTTTATTTTGCATTTCAAGCAGACAAATTATACATTTGCAGAAATCTTAATAAGAACACTTAAGTTGTGAAGATATCGGTCAAAATTTACAGAATAATGACATTAAAAAATTCAATGTTTATAACAAATATTATATATATATTTTTGCTCACTTAATCTAATCAATGCTTTTTTTTTTTTTTTTACAAGAGATGCAATTTCAAATACATTTGGTACAAGAATTTAAGCCTCTAATTACAATCTAAGTACAACTGAAGAAATCTGTCTTTGTACATGCACAGATATTCTCAACAACAGGCCATTGTTTGAAGATGATTATTATGATTATTTCTCAAAGCAACAGCTTCTATGATTTAGGTGATTGATAGTTAATCTGAGACATATTTTAACCTGTTTAAAAAACAATTCATACAAAATGATTTTTCAGTGGTTGATTTCAATACTTTAAATATATTGGCTATCTTACATGACCTATAGTTTATTTCTACAGGGTGCGATGGATAAAATGTCCTCTAAATTACACAAAAATGAAAATAACACTGGCATCTCATTTTAACAGATATATTTACCAAAATTACACAAAAATATCTTGAAATACTAAAGAATAAATTTATTCAATAAAATTGCTATTGGCTGCAACCATGGCCTAGAGATGATTTTGGAATCTCCTGCAGCTTTTCTGGACAGCCTATTTGTTTAAGTTGGTAAATGCTGCTATAATCCTTGCCTTCAGTTCATCTTTGATGTTACAAGGAGTTTTGTTTGTCTCTTGCTCAACTGCACTCCACACATAATAATCAAGGGGGTTGCAGTCTGGGGTGTTAGGTGGCCAGATGTAAGGGGTGGTATGGTCACAGAAATTGTCTAACAGCCATGATAGGGTTCTGCTTGTGTGGCATGGTGCAGTCCTGTTGCCAGACATAGGGTCTTCCAACAGCCACCCTCTTGACCCAGAGCAGCACTACCTCCTCGAGACACTTCACGTAGATCCCCATGTTCAGTCTGAGACTCTTACCAACAAATTCAGTTCTTTTCTTATCAGAATGTGTCAGAACGAGTTTTCCTGAGCTGCTTTACATTTGTAATCATCATTAAACTCATCAACTACTCCCGAATCCTGTGCACTGACCTCTCATCATAGAGATCTTTTTTTCTCACAGACAGTGCCCAACAAACCCTACTATTACTGTGCAGTTGATAAAAATCAAAAACAAAATGTGCATGCATGAAATTAAAAATATAAAATGGCAACAATTTAACCATTGCATCCTGTATTTAACTAGTAAAAAAAAGTCATAAGAAATGCTTTTCTATGGTAATTGATTATCAATACAATTACATAGAACAGCACTGTACTAGTACATAAAAAGTAAAAATATATGAATTTCTATAAAAACTAAACGCTTTTTTTTTTTTTTTTTTAATTCTTTTTACATATACACATATTTATATATATATATATATATATATATATATATATATATATATATATATATATATATATATAAGACAAAAAGGAAAAAAGAAAGAACAGAAAGGAAGCAGGAGGCTGATGGTGAAAATATAGACATTAAGTTAAACAAACTCCCAATATCATGGTAGGGGAAGAGGAAGTGTCTGGTTCAAAGAGACAGTTAAAATAACCTTGACCTATATTTGAAAATATTAACATCACAAGTCAGGTTGAAATAGAATCACAAAATTAAAGACAAGTTCAAACAATTTTAAAAATTAAAATACAAAATAGTAAATATTAGTTCTAAATCAAAGAACAAAAAATATATTTCTCCTTTTTTAAGAAAAAATTTCCAAATCTATGCTAGCAAAAGTAAGAAAAAATAATAACCATAAATAGTTTATATAAAGAAAAAATACAAATATTTAAAATTTAAGATTTTCTAAAAAAATATTAAGAAAGTGTATGTAAAATGGTAATATCTAAAATTAAAAAAACATGTACTACAAATAATAATAAATATAATAAATAAAATAAAAAATTTATAAAAATATATATCTGACATGTCCTGGAAAGGGATATATTTGAATGAAGTAGCTAAGTAGTTTTGGCTACTATAACCAAGTAGAATATGGTAGCAGTAATCAACTGGTATGCGTTGTAGTCACAGGTAAGAAGTGTAGATCAATGGCATAATCCAATGGGTGTCGTTCTAGACTTAGCTCTCAGACTAAGGCTCTGACTCTCGTACACATCCATCGGTATTTATGACGGACACCAGCCAATCATATTCCAGTGAGGAGGAACACAGGTGTACGCATATTTCATTATATCAATATCATAATTAAGTAATTCAAGGAGTCTAGAAGAAACCTCAAGAGAATTCAAAATTATAGATTATCTGGATATCACACTTAACCTTAATAGTAATACTTTTAAATTTTACCATAAAGAACATAAAGTCCCCCAACTACATTAATGTTGGTTTTAACCACCCCATGCTATTGTGAAACAGATACCCATTATTGTCAGCTCCAGAATTAGTAAGCTTTCATCTAACAGGAATATTTTTAATAAAATAAAGAATTGTATGATAATGCTTTCGAAAACAGTAGCTTTAAAAATAAATTATCCTACTCAAACCCCAATGAGTAACATTTAACATTTTAAGCACAAAAATAGAAAAAGAAAAATCATATGGTTCACCCCACTCACTTCCGTGACTTATCCAACACTAATATTGGACAAGTTTTTCTGAAGTCAATAATTAAAACGTTTTCAAAAATCAACCCTTTAAATAAGATCTTTAATAGGAAAACCATCAATATAAGCTATTCCTGCACAAATAACATGTACAAAATTATTGACTCTCATAATAACTACATCCTAAGTTGTGACACCATTTAGCTATGGTAATTGATTAACTAATTAACCATAGAAATTAAACAAGAAAATACTGAGAACAGGAAAGAAGATATCCCAAGTTTTTATTTTTACTTTAAAAAAAAAAAAAAAAAAAAAAAAAAAAAGAAAAAAAAAAAAGTTACTTTTCTCAAGAACCCAAGAATTTGTGTAAACAGTGGACTCACAAAAAGGCCATATGGCGAGCTTTTGACAATT